TATAATTAGGATCTATTCTACATAATGTACAACCATCTCTTGCAACATCATTTTAATCATCACATAATTCTTAACCATTTTTAATACCATCTCCATATTTTGTTTCACATTTCTGTACATTTAAATAATAACCAACTTCACATTCAAAACACTCTCCCTTTTAACAGTTTGAACACATTTATCACATTAATATTTACATTCATACAATATATACATTTTCTAAATTAACAATTTAAACATTCTATTTGATATTGATATTTACATTAGTAACACCCATCATATCTAAATTCATTGCCATCATCACAGACTTCATCACTAGTCAATATCTAATCTCCACAAATAGAATTACATGAATTACTTACAATATCTAAATAGAATCCTTATTAACAATGTGTACATATTCCAAAAGCACATTATTAATAATATTGAGGACATTAGTATTTACAATTTAAACAAGCATCTAATTAATGTTAACTTTAATCATCTCACTCTTCTTCTTAAACTATAATACCATCTCCAAATTTAGGAATACATTTATTTCCATAATATTCCTATTCACATTCTACACATTTCTATAATATGCATTATTTACAATTTTTTGAACATTAATTCATATTATAATTAATTATACAAGTATTTGTAAATAAATCTAGCTATCCAAATTAACATTGTATACATTAATCATTATTTAGCATTTTACAATTAGGTTATAAAGGTTGTATTACTTTACATGAATTATTTAATTAATCTAATTGATAATTAATTTAACATGATTGGCATATTCCATTCTAACATATATTATATGAACTGATCATTTCACATTATTCATTATTTATCCAAATTATATTTCTAAAAATTTAATGACATTCAAATGATATTAATTCATAACCATCTTTACAATCATAACAGACTCCTTAAACACAATTCAAACATGTATCTTAACAACTATATTAACAACAATGACATCCATCACCTAAAATTAGATTGCCATCATCACATTATTCATCATCTGTTACCATCCTATCGCCACAATTAGAATAACATAAATTATCAATTCTATTGTAGCCTGATTTACATTCTAGACAACCAAGTCCTTAATTATCACAATTAATGCAAGAAGATTAACACTGAGGAAGACAATTTTAACATCCTTAATATGGTAATATTAAGCCATCTTCACAAATCTCTCCAGGTAGTTAAATTGAATCACCACAAATAGGAATACATATTTTATTGGGAGACAGAAAATATTAAGAGGCACAAGTTTCACATCTATTATCAATACAACTAATGCAAATAGATGATGATTAAAATTAATATGAACAACTATTATTACAACCGTCATCATCTACTGTATTACCATC